CACAGAAAAGCATTTCTCCGTAGATATACGATCAACTTCATCTTTGATCAACTCAGCTGCGCCACAGGCTCTAATAATCTCGTTCAAGTTCTCTGGAACGTGACTGCCATAGTGCTGTGCTAACAGAGCAGCCCCCTCCTGTATAACGGTACCGATACGAGATTTGTTGACTCCCGCCGCTTCTAGAATCTGGTCCACAACCCCGTGGACTACCGGGATTACCTCCTCTGCCGTTGGCCTCTCTGATGCGGTTGCAGACATCGCAGTGTACCACCGAGATCGCCACGTGATGTGGGGTTGCGATGAGGACGACCGCGCCGACATTGGCTAACGCGAGGCAGAGGAGAAGGAGAGAAACTCGAGCCAAGATGGCTACGGTTAGTGACAAATGAACTATAGCTACTTCGAATTAATCATGCTCTAAGTCCCGCTATGTGGCTGCGTACTATTAGAGAAAGCGCACGTCCTAAAGTTTAGGGCCTAAACTCTTACAATGTGCACCGACCATCCTACTCGATATGCCCCCCGGATGGACGGTTATATGGGCAGGTATTGAAATAATGACATTCTAAGATGTCAGACTTATTGACAGGACCCTTATTAATAAACCCGCAAGAACAAGTTGCAGAGTGGTCCGGCCGACCTGGCCATACGCACGATAGACTGTGAAACCATAGGAACCATCGCGACCGAAGCTATTAGGCTCAAACAACGAGACCTCATCACTGATAGCAGGTGGACCGCGACCGCGGGTCCCGCAACCCTCACGGGAATCGGTGATGGACTTAAGCAAAGCCGCCTTAACCGTATTATTCATAACTTCGCGAACATTCATCAAATTGGCAACATCATCGAGTGTAACAATAGCAGAGCTCTCGGGACCATCATTCTCTGATGCATTCTCGACAGACAGACGTCGAGGTCTACAGAAAAATATTCCATGGGGGGTAAGACCGACATCGGACAAAGAATTGAAACTAAGTCGAACAAAGGCCTTAGATAATAGAGTAGGCCATGCCCTTTTATTGAAAACCCTCAAATGGATCGCTCCACTAACCCATTGGCGAACGGGCTCCTTGAATTAGTGATTCTTCGCTCTAACAGAAACTTCCTAGAGGCAGTCGAGCGAAGAGCGGGTCCCTCATCACTCTGTAATTGAGATGGGCTCCCCCACCAATCGAAGCATATAGATAGGGCTCCTACGACAGCGGACGTCGTGGAGCTTCGAATCGGAGAGACCCACACATATCTACTGAAATGATCAATTAGAAATATAGCGGAATGATAACGAGAATACCTATCTGGCCCCATCTCTGCCAAGTCAATGCTAATTGTCTGTCATACTGATCGAGCTCCTTCATTTAAAGAACGACCGCCGTCAGTAGTGGAATAGTAACGTCGACTAAGCGACCGTTGGCATTTGTTGCAACTCTTGCTCAGGTCGTCGACCAGGTGTCGTACATTAGGGTAATAGCAAGTACGAGTAATCAGCCATCTTAGATATCGAGCATTAAGACATCCAGCTTTATCATGATCAATTATATTGGGAGACTACGTGCTCCGGGAAGCCCTTCCTATCAGATGAATCCGCCGGAATGAAGTAGCAAACCGGTGAGCCTGAATGGCGTTGAGGCGGGCATTGGTCACCCGCTTCAGCCATACACCATCATCCGCAACAAAAAAGTCGGCGAGCTCCCGAGCCAAGGCCCGGGGAGCGGGACCATGGACATAAAGTAGGGTACCCCTAGTCTCACCAGGAGGGTTAGAACCCAAACACTGTAGGATAAGTCGAGCTGACGGGTATTGCCATTGCATTTGGAGTAGTTTTTTCCGGGCGGGCTTACCAGGAGCAACACTCACTAGTGCTGGGGGGCTCACGACATCAGCATCCAAGATTATTGCAAGCCGCGACCGATTGGCAAGTCAATTCAGATCCACCCTGGACCCAGCTCAAGACCGTCCGGGAATCGGACATGATGCGGAGGCTAAGAAAACAAATACACATCACGATTGACTCGACGAACAGATGAGCAGCTGATAAACAGAAAGCCTCCCGACGATTCGACAAAGCTCCCACCCCTGCCTCTAAGCGTCTGGGCACCGGAACTTCCGTATGTTCTCCTCCAGTCGAGAAAGCCAAGTCAACCTCAGCGTCAAGTCGAAACCCGAACTAAAAAGATCGTACAACCCCATGAGCACGGCAACCCCGACAACCAGTCAGATGATGAAGAAGCTCCGAGGGAGGTGACTTCAAGCATTGACAAGGCCGATGCTGATCCGCTTGCTCTGGACAGCATCTCACAAAAGCTTCCTGATAACGTGTCCGAGTACATCCGCGACAACCTCCCATCTAGGGCTCAAGCTGACGTTGCCTCCCCCTTGGCCTCCAAGAAACTCATCATGACAAGCATTCCTCGGCGTCCTCGACGACACCAGAGAGAGTAAAGAATGTGAAGAGCTCGCTCATCTGTTGTCCGACAGAACCAACTTGATTTTCCTGAAAGCTGTCGGGTGCAACTGCGGCGCGCTTTACTCTCTCAAGAGAAAGGTGGAGGATACTCGAGCCGAGAGAATCTGTGAATGCAGAATTTTAGCCTCGATTCTGTGTCCAAGCTGCAGGCAAAGTACGGTATGGCTATACCCGATCTATACCGTTGATGGCTGAGTGCTGAGTCAAGGAGAATGAATTGCTACGTTTGGCGGAGTGTGACGAGCCCGGACCACTGTCCAAGAAAAAGAGACTCGTCATCGATATCCTTGGCAAGTCCGTCAATCAGGACGAAGTGAGTCTCCCGTGAGCTCTCTATCAATGCGAAGCTGCTCACGTGGGCGCTTGTATCACTCGATTTTGCCTATCTGCGGCCATGCTCGGGAAAATGTTTCCCGCAGACGGCCTCATGTACATGGCGAGACTGTTCAAAGAACTTTAGTTCGCAGTCTCAGCCAGCTCTTCTAATCGCCTCGGAACCACCAACGTCGAGACGAACCATGCAGACTGTACATGCGCGGAGAGAGTCACTATGAATTCAACTGCAAATACAGTCATGATAGAAATCGGGGGCGTCAAGGTAAGAGATTCTCCAACTCTAAGCGATCTACTAAGGAGGAGTGAGCGCCTCGAACCACTCGTAGTGTTTCAGCGCGTGAGTCTCAGGCCCCGAGCAAGCCACTTGAGCTCATTCTGCTGCTCTGAATAGGCAAGCTGTTTCTTCATCTCATCGTACTTACGTTGAGCTTTGCATAGTTTATCGGCGAATAAGCATGTCTAATGTCGCTTACAGTGATATTTTTGTCAGAAACCGAGGCGACACTGCAATGTGATACGCCCCGCGGCACTCAACTCATATAGCATGATGTTTACA